TGAAGCTTGATAATAGACACCGAGATGGACAACAAATTAAAAACACTTTCTAAATTCGAAACTACAGAAGATGATTATTTTGATTGTTTATTCTCGATTTTTTGTTGTTGAATAAATTTAATTTTTCAAATAATAAAAAATGATGTGACTGGAAAAATATATAGTTTTCACATTTTGTTAATTTTGTATGGTTGTAGCAATGTGATTCAAAATATAATTTCGCACAATAGTTTGGAAATATAAACCGTTAAAAGTTCCAGATCAAGCTAGTAGCTCGGAGCTACTACCAACGAGCAGAAGGCATGCAAAATTGTCATTTTGTTCAAAGAGGCATTAGATAGCATTATAGCAGGCTACGACGATAGTATTTTTTTAAAAACGTTTAAATAAAAAAAGATTACTTTTAAATTATACAAACATACAAATTGACGACAAATTGACATTTTAACATGAACATGTTTTTTTACATGTTGAAATAGCATTTTACCCGCGAACAAAATGTGTTGCGGTTAAATTGGCATTTTAACATGGGAGAAAATATATCCATGTCAAACTGGAATTTTCACATCTGTATTTTCTCAGAGTAGGGTCGAACTTATTTATCCGTCCGCTAAAAATTGTCCATCAACTAATTATTAATGAACAGATGGGCAGTTGGTTCGTCCGAGGACTTATGACCGCTAGCCGATTTTTCGGAGTTTTCTGAAGTTTTTTCAAATTTAGTTTTTCGTTGTCATCACACCAAAAATTAGTAAAGAGCCCAAATTCTCAGCTCTGTGAAAAATATTTACATTTGAGGGTTATAACGTTATAACGTTAATTCAACAATAATAATAATTATAACTGCGCCAAGACGACAACTGCACAAACATAAGCATCATGTATGTGGTGCGTACTTGTTGTATGGTTTGCTCATTTTCGCCGCTGCTTATCCGTGTGGTCGATTCTGTTGTTTTGTTTTTCACATTACCAAAAAAAATATATTAATTAATACCTGCAGTTTGATTCTTTTAAGTAACATAAATTAAATGCGTATAATGGCCTGTCTGATTGTTTTTGTAAATACGTGTGTTTGTCTTCCCTTTTTGATTTTTTTTTAAATTACAGCCAAGATAAACGAAGCAAAAAAAAAATCGCCAACTGTTCACTTCAAGCGAGCAGTTTTTCTGTGGTAATTTGTCATGTTTCATGATTTGCTTGTCTTTGTTCCTGTACTCGTGCTTTGGCGGCTGCGTGTGAACTTTCTGTTTGGGGGGCACTTAATTTTCGTGCACAATCTTATAATTTTATGATTCGGTATATAAAGTGCAGAAAAGGAACAAATTATGAAAAAAAAAAAAACAAATAAGTCATAAAAGATGTATAATTATACACCTAATGATTTACATCGACAAAAAAACATAGCCGGAGCCTATTGAAAGTGAATCTTGGAGAATATAAAAACAAAAAATTGTATAAAAATGTCCCTTCATTAGTGTGTTGATGTGTTTTCTATACCATACATACAATTTGATGGCCAAATTGGTTACGATATGCCTATCAATTACACACTTCCAAGTAATAACTTTTAAATTTCCGTCCAAAATAAATAATAAAATGGAATGCAAACGAAGATGTTTTATGGTTGTAAGCGCGCTCTCTTTTGAGACTCGTCATTGGCCACCGCAAAATCAACAATTCACTCAAATTCGAGTGTATTTGGCCGATGCACATTTGTAAAAATCAAGCAAAACATACGTGAATTAAATGCTTCAAATGCTTGCACATATGTATTTTTAAATATAAACTTACCTTTTTTTTATTCAAAATTCATTTAATATTCTGTAAACAATTTAATGGCATTTACCTTATTAACGTGTTCGCACAACACAATCGTATCGCGCCCATATACACATCACAAGAGAGCAACAACAAAAAAAGATACGAAACTGTTCGTGTCTTCGTGGATATCCGGCACAACGGAATATATGCTCAAATTGTTCATTGTTTATGGGCAATTTGACTGCATGCCAAAACATCAAACGTTTAGCAATTTGTGAAAAATTGTGTGCGCCGTACATTCACAAGAAGAACGAAACATTTTTAATGTAACGAAATCCAGCGTCAATGGAAACGTTCAACATTTTTCTTTGATTTGTGTCCATTCGTAAGTCAATGCATGAATTGTCAGCGGTTTTTATGGGACCGTTTTTTTTTTTTTGTATTTCTGTAAATGATTATCAATGTTTCGATATTGAATTAATTTAAGGGCATTGTTATACATTGACATTAAACTATTCGAACACACTTTTTAAAATGCACAAAATTGGATGTTGTGATAATTTCGAAATCGAATCGAATATAAACTTTTTTCTGTTTTTCAAATTGAATTTCACCTGCTTTGGAATTGTGTAAGGTCAGTTTCAATCACTGCGAATATTAAATTAAAATCAAGACTATCAAATGATTTTGAAATTTCTTGTTTCGTTCGTCGTGTAGAACTGACCTTACACAAGTTCCAAATAATTCAATGCGAGATGAGAGTACTATGCGAAAACAAAAACAAAAACCATCAAATATATTGATCACTCTATAGAGTCGATACTGAATGTATTTTAACTAATTTATGTCAAACGGGTTAAGTTTTGCATATACTTTGTGTGTCTCTGTGTGTTCATATGCAACACCACTAAAAAGAAAACTAGTTATGAATTAAAGCCGCATAATTTATCCATGATGATGAAAAAAAAATGGTCATACGCGCGTTCATTATAGTTTTTAGTTGATTTTAATATAATAATGATAGAGAGCAGAATGAAATGACTATTATGAGCTGGTCACTTTGAATTAGCATCGGTCATTTGACTTGAAATGAGAGAAATGTTATTGAAAATGGGCTTGTGCATGCAACAGTGATGACGGTCGATGTATTTGACGAGCCGCACAATTATTGGACATTTTCATGACACCCAATTTTATAATTTAACAAATTGTTTCAAAGCAACAAGGACTGAAAGGTGTTGCGTTGAAAGAGCTCGTTTTTCAATTGGCATATGACTGGTTCCAATGTTGAATTGCATTATGTTGTTGAGGACATACAGCTTCAGTAAAGCGCTCGTGCTCACACGTTTCTACGTACGTTCCACAAGAGATCCGGGTCATTGTTTTCATTCGTATGTGTCGCTTTATTATTTCTATTCATTCGATTTTTATTGCTGTCTTTGCACTTGCACAGTGCTTTATCGTTTTCTCTATCTCTCTTTTGGATTTCCTTTTCAGCGTAGCACCTAACACACATTTCAATTGAAGACAAAAAAAAATTGAAAAAAAAAAACTACGACGACGACAACAATAACAACATACAAAAGTTACTTGCTCACATGTATGCAAGCTCCCACAAATATGTGTATTTGTAGCTGCAACCACTAGCGTTAGGTGGATTTTCCATTTTTTTGCATTGTATTTTTTCTGTCGGTTATTTAATTTCACAGTCAAAACAAAAATTCTTTGCTCAACGTACACCATATTCATGTTTTGATATGGTGTATTTTATAACGCGAAATATAGTGCAGCGCGTGTGTGTGTGTTTGCGCGCACGGCTAACGGCTATAATTCATTTGCAAGTACGTATTTCGTTAGCTGTTATTGTTTTTTTTTCTCTGTCTTGGTTTTTGATCAAATTATACAATGCGATAAATAATAGTCGCACAAGATCTTATGTAAGAACGGGCCAAACACTTGTAAGCTGTTACCGCCGTTGCTGCTGCTGCTGATGGTGTATTTGTTGTTGTTGTTTTTTTTTTACACAAAAATCCGTTTCAGTTTGTTCATTCATTATTTTATTTGTGTGTAGTGTGTTCGAGCACATATGTCTCATTTGCACAAGTTACAATTTTCAAATATATCGATTGTTGCCAATTAGCTAAAAATTTCGATTTTACCATATGCAATAATGCTCTATTATTACTACCATTCAAAAAGCATTCATATTTCCAATCGAATTGATCACGGTATGCAAAAAAAAAAACACACACACAACGAGAAATGACGCACATGCATGATTCTGTAGACACAGGTATTTAAAAATGTTATGCCATTGTCTGAACTGACTCGCGCGCACTCAGATTCTTTCTGCTGATTACGTTTTTCATTTCTCAGTATAAAAAAAAATGTTTTCAGTTTGTTAAAATGGTATTATGGATACAATCATTTTCTTCTAACCGCCAATTAGAACATTGTCGTAATTGCCAGCTACGTAGCAAACAAACAAAAAATGCCATGAGATGACTAGATTTTCCGTTTCGAATACAACATTGTAATTTTCTGCAATTTGACACATGTGCACACAACAAACTCTGCACAAGTGTTCCAATATTTTACCATATAAATTTCAAGAATATGATTTTTTTCACATTTTCCAGAATCTTGTTCCAATTTCTTTCGATTCACTTTGTTGATATCGATTTTGTGCGATTCTAGCATATTTTTCTTTGTATTTTATTTTATACATTTGCTGATTTCATCGTTGAAATTTGCATTTTTCAAAGGAAACTTGTTATTAGAATTATTAACACATTTCATGTGTGATAGACGTTTTATCGGACAAAAGAAAATTTCTAAAAACCAATCAGTTCATTGATGCACTTATGATTCAATTTTTCGGAAAAATAAGAAGAAAAACGAAGTTGATGGGCGAAGCTTCGAACATATGATAAGCGTCAATAAAATACGTGTATACTGTATAGAATAAAAAGAAAAGTATTTTCTTTTTCTTGTGCTTTCTCTCTCCTTCCTCTTCTCATGTCAATCTGTGTCATTTTCTGCGAATAGCAGTGAACACAATTGCATCGAATTCATTAAATATTTCACATGATCTTGATAGCGCACACTTATGCTTCAGCTGGGATGCATAAATTGCGTGATTTTTTTTTTCATTAACATATCCGCACGCCACAAAAGAAGTTGTCTTTAGCATAGCCAAGAAAAGTGAAGTTTGGAGCAAAAATATGAACAACAAAAACAGCAGATACAATAACAAAGGCTATGGTATAGAATTCAGTTTGGATTTATGATATTGAATTTCGTTCTCTGATCTTTTAGGGTAGCGTTTATGTATCCAACCACAAGGTAAAAATCTCAATATGCTTTTTAACATTGTGTCGATTACAAACTTAAATCTTGCTCTTTGACATTTTGTGTGTTTTAATAGTCTTTGTTCACATTGCATAGAAAAGCGTGAGACGTTTTTTTCTCCCTACGAAAAAATGAAACAACAACAACTCTGCCATGCAAAAGAATGTTAAAATGATTTTATAAACGAATTTTTCATTCAACGAATCACAGAGAAAATAAAGATGT